CCCTGGTTCTTCCCTTCGGTTGTAAGCCATGATGATATATAAGGCCACTGAAAACACACAAGATGTCCATTTTCATAACCTTGATTTGTTTTGTTTTTAACTGATGTTTTTATACCATGATGTCTTTAACACTTGCTAGCCTACCAACAATTCTGGCAAGTGGAAAGGCATAATTTGAGGCAATACTTCTTACAACAGTTGTTCAAAAGAGAGTAAACTAAGGATCATATTCCAGAGGCTGGGATTCTATCCAAATGATGAATTTGAGTACTGATCTGCACACTGGTTGCTTACTGCAGTATTTATATATCTCCAATTCAGTTAAGTATTTTAAGATTGTTGCTATTCAGGTGACAGCTTACTTTATAGAATTACAGTATTTTTGATTGCAGAATTACAGAATTTTGATTGCAGAAGTAAGAATTAGGGACAATCAGTCAGGGACAAACATACAGGAAATTTTTGTCATCAAGTAAAATGTATTATTTCTTTATTTATTAAATTTTTGTGCCACCCATCTCGTCTATAGCTGCAGGGAGCTTCAAATAAAACAGGATATTAAGAGTAGATTACCAAATGAATAAAGACTTGTAGAGGAAAAGACTATATATATCAGCCCAAATTGTTTGGAATAAAAACATAAAAGTTTTTATCAAAATTTAATAAAAAATAGTATTTTAATGTATAAATATTAAATCCTTATGAATATCTTCTTTGCTCATTTTATAATATACATACACACATACATACAGACTATTATTGACTAACTGTTCTTGAGGATTTAATAGATTAAGGTTTTCCAAAGTGGTCAATATCGATTTCCATGGGGCTATCTAAGGAGTGGATATTATTATTATATTGTTACTTGTAGTACTATAAGTTAAAGTAGTATTTATTACATTATTTTCATATAATAAATGTTTGGGGGGGCGCAATGAACAATTTGAAATTTCATGAAGGAGGCAATGATCTGAAGAGTTTGGATACGCTTCTGATAATCAACTGAGCAGATCTTTTCTGAGCTGCCAAATGTCAGATTAGCTAAATGGTATTTTATTTTAATGGCTGTTCTTCTCACCGAAGTTGGCTTTGGAGGCAGGAACTGAAAACTACACCTTAGGTTTCCATTTTCCTAGTCCAGCTCTTTTCTTTCTCATACCCATAAGGTATTGGACCTCTGCAGTGGGTAGGCAAAGAATTATTCTAAGCACGCTTACATAGAAGTAAATCCCACTAAATTCTATGTAATCTACTTTTAAAAAGAAAGTGTAAGAGTCTATTGTAAATATCTCTCTCTGGAAAAGATTGCCATACCCTTATGCATTTTGTAATAAGAAAAGTTTATTTTTGTTATTTATTTTACTGGGCTTATACGCTATTCCAATTAAAACCAACACTGAGCAACCCAACCTTAATACATTTTATCAGAAAAATAGCAAAACCTAAAAATGTCTGTCTGTCTGTCTGTTTGTCTGTCTGTCTATCTAACTATCTAGCTATCTAGAGAGATAGAGAATCTAATCCATTCAACAATGTTATGCAGTTTTTATTCTACAGTATTTTACTGTCCATCCATTCAACAGCTTTTATTTCTAGAAAAAATTTACTAATAGATCTCAGCATATTTTAACAAAATCAGTAAGGATCTCTATGACATTTTAAACAAGTGTGTGGCTGAATCAATTTTCACCCAAGACATTTCATCAGATGCATCAACAACCAATGAAGAGCAGCACTGAATGCTAATACTGTAGGTAAGATGCCAACGAGCAAGATGTGCAATAATCTTTCTTAAGATCTGGTGGCGCACCTCAAAATTTTATTCAAAATGCATTTATCTCTAAAGTGCAATCCTTTATAATTTGGCTACTTTACGTAGGTTTAATACTTCACAATCTTATTTCCTGAAGTGGCACCCATGCATTAATCAACCAACCAGGAAATTCTACACAACTTGTATTAGAGAACTTCTATGTATAATCACTGTTTTGCTTCTGGTCTGCCCAAATCTCTGAGAATTTGAGCCTCAACAAATAAGATTTTCAACATTAGTATGTAATGGCAGAATACATGCAGAAAGATGCAGAACAGTGAGACAGATACAACTGGGAGAAAATACCGACATTAAACCCAACATAAGGATGCAATCCATATTTCATTAAATTCAAAGGCACAACTCTCACTAATTTCACTGTCTTTGGATTGAAACTTCAGTATGTGTCAGCAGTCTGTTTACAATATAGTGCAAAACTAGACTTGCCAATAGCAATTTGTGAACAGTTTACGACAGATTGTTTTGAACTACCTTTTTAAAATTTGAGAAAAGCAGTCACAGGACAGAAATGGAAAGGTTTTCTTAACACTTTTCTTTCAAGCAACCAATCTACTCTCTTACCCAATATTAAGCAATGAGGCCTCAAACTATTTTCTTCTGCAGAGAAAGCATGCATGTGAGCAGTGTGCGTGCATGCATATGTGTGTGTGTGAGAGAGTATGTGTGCCTCTGTGTGTGTATGTGTGTGTGCGCACACATGGGTGTGCACTTTCAAGTCTATTCCCAAATCTCTTGCGTCACATCCAGTTTAGCCCATATGGACTCCTTGGACTCCTCAGCTTCTAAATAGATCCCTATATATAATTTCCCTTAATCACAGTTCCCATTCTGATTACTGCTGTACTTTCTAAAAGTCAATGCTTGAGGGCCAGGGAAAGAGAAAAATATGAAATGACAGAGGAGAAAAACGGATTGGTAGTTGGGACAAATTTGCAAATGCAAGTTCAAATTCAGCCCGGTCATAAAGTTCAACATTAATAAAAGATTGCTGAATTTTGCAATACGATCCTGAGCATATTTGCCTGGAGCTGACAATGTTTAGTGGGATTACTCCTTAATAAATGCAACAACAACTGCAGTCTCTAAGTTGCAAAGCTAAAATAGGATGCCCTGACACTCTAGAATGATTTGTGAGCCCTAGAGATCTGGAAAGAAACAAATATAAAATAATATATAGAAAGATAATTAACTGGGATAGTATGGAAGAAGGTAGATTTTGCTCAAAATATATCTGTGCCAATGGCAGAAAACACTAAAATTACACCACATCCCTGATTGATGATAGGGAGTTCAAACAACTGGGAAAATCTACATAACAAATCTCACTAAAAGGGATTGTATAATTCCTATTGATTATTGCTTAAGTAAAATTCCTGGTGGATCAAGATTAACCCAACTAAGGCTATGTTTAAGGGCACCCCAAATCTACTCACTCTGATATATTTCCTGTGCAGGTACAGTTGTCAATGGATGCTGTAAAAAGCATTTTATTTTGCAATTCTCTGCAAAGAGAAACTTGGGACCACAAACTGGACTGGGTAGGGATGGACTGGTCCCAACAGGCTTTAAAGGAAAGGAGGCATAAAGAAGCTACCGATTTAGCACTGCTCTCTCTTGTAGGAGAGATCCAGTGGCTGTTCTCTGCTGAGGTGTGGGCAGCAACTAGGGGGGAGGGAAGGAGGGAGGGAGATGCAGCTATCACTGCAGAGAGATAGATTCTGGTGATACTAATTGTAATGAGGAAGAGAGAAAATTAACAACTCCCCCAAGCCTCTGTGGCCTTGCCTTTGATTTTCAGGTTTACAGAAGTGTGAGGTGCAGGGCCATCCATCTCTCTCTCCTTCTCCACCCCCACCCCCATGCCAATAAAGACAGCGCTGGGTGAAAGCTGTCAGGTGGAAACGTATCCACACACACCACCTTTGCCAACCATCCCACAAAAAGCGCATTGTGGGCTTCCGGGAAAGCCTCTTGCTGCCAATCACTTAGCTAAGACATTCCCTCCAGGGGGCAGAAAAGGCAGAGCGAGGGTAAAAGCACATCCGGGAGGGGGGGTTGCCAGGAAGAGAGACGGGCAACACTTTCCGAGACCAGGGGTCCCCCGTTCCGCGGTCCTGGCGCAGAACTCGCTCTCTGCCTAAATCGAGACAAGGACGCGCGCTCCGCCTGGACCACCGCACGTCTTCAGCGCTTCACCGCATCAGGCCGTGCCCTGCCCAGCTTCCAAGACCGAAAGGGGCGGCCAGATTGACGCCCGCCTGAGCCCGAAAGGGAAACTGCGGCAACCTCCATCTCGTCTCCTCCACGCCCCTCCTCACCTACTGTCCTGGAGCCGATGCAGCCCATCCTTCCGCCCAGCGAGGCTCCTCCAGGAGGGAGCGGTGGCGGAGCGGAGAAGGAGCAGCCGCCGCCGCAGCAGCAGCAGCAGGCTGCGCACCGAAGCAGAAGGCGGGAGCGTGGCCGCGCTGTGGAGCGGAATCCCCGTCACGGCGACTCCCCAAAGCGGCCCTTCCGGGGCCGGATGCAGCTCCTCATCATCACCACGCTCAGGTGCGAGAGAGCGCTCCGGGCCAGGGTTGCGGCAGGCAGCGCGCGCGAGACGCCTCGAGGGGGAGAGGCGAAAGCCCCAGTGCCACCGGACCCGCCGCTGCCGTCTCCCTCAGCCTGGCTGGGCGAAGGATGTTCGCGGGGCTCACAAGGGAGACGGGTGGGCGGGGGAGGAGGAAAAGGAGCGCGGAGATTGGGTAAACAGCTCGGGAGCCTTGCGCGGACCTGCCATTGGCTGAGTCGGAGCCGCGGCTGGAGGAAGGAGGCAACGAGGAGCCCCCCGCGCTGCCGCCTCGGCTACGTGTGATGCTCGAAGCAGCAGCCAACAAGCCAGACGCTCTGACACCCGCCCATTTGCCCCGGGTTGCGGCGGCGGCGGCGGCAGGGGGAGTGGCGCTGCGAAGCGGAGAACTTGCGTTCACGCGCGAAGCGGCTGGGAGGGTCATTCTGAGGCACACTCCGAGGAGGAACCGGTCGGAGCTAAATCGAGAAGTCCGACCTGGGATTCGCGGGACGAAACATTGGGTTCAAAAGAAGTCCCTTCCTTTGCCCCGGGTGAGCATGCAGAGGATGGCAGCCGGGAAAGGGAGGCGCAAGCTGCCATTCTATGCAGCCTTACCTGGGATTAAGCCCCCAACGGGGCTCGCGGCGGGAGCAGAAAAAGTCCGCACTGTGGCTGCGCGCTCTGCTTTAGGGCAGGAACAGCCCGGTGCCCGAAGCAACCAACAGACGAGGCGCTCCGAAAACCGTAGCGTGCTCCACCCCGCCCGGGTCCTCAAGGGCTCCGCGTGCGCAGAGCCTCCCAGCGTTTGCCAGAAGGAATTGCAGCAGCGTCTCGGAGCAAGCGCCGCAACCGCCGTGCTTTGCGCTGTACTGCATCGCTTTTCACGGGCGCGTGGGGAGCTCCGCTGGACGGAGGGAGACCCTTGCGGAGACGTGGCGGCAGGATAAGGGCGTAGAGGCTGAAGGAAGAGAGACGGGGACTGGGTGGGAATTTAAGTAAATTCGGGCGAAGAAAGCGGGGAAGGAGGAGAAGCGAGACGGAAAGGACAAACAAGAGACCTGAGCGGGTCGGCGACGGACGCCTGAGGGTGAACGGAGGCCCCCAGGTGTCTCCTCGCAGAAATATCTGCAGCCACTTGCGTGGAGAGAGCTTGTCGCACTCGCTATCTTGTCTTCTCTGCCTTCCAAGGAGGAGATGGAGGAGGATCGGGCCCTCCAGGCCATAGAAATAGAGGAGAGCTCCCTACATGAACGGACCAGAAACTTTATTTCCGTCTTTGGCCAATAAAAAGATATTCTGTAAGACAAACTAACCAAAATTATCCCCTAACATCAATAACTGCTAGCAACCATTGATGGGCGAAGCTTATGCACAATATAGCAATATTTTGCTACTTTTAGAGAAATACATTGATTTTCACTGTTTAACAGATAATACAAATCATAATTATCAAGAGTGCCTGGAAATTTAACTAAAAAGGAGGTAATCACTGGTGACAAATATCCTGTAGAACTGGCAGTACAAAAGTACATGGGCTGCGGTTTCTATGGCAGCTGAATACCAGGGCAGATATTAAGTTTTACATGAGTTTTCCTATATTTAACCATTGTATTATGAGAAAAGGCAGCAGTTTCTGTTTGGCCTTCTGTATCTTAAGATCCTTTGCCTTAATTTGATCTAGCTTGATCTCTGATCCTAAGATTAGGATGGCTTCACTGGAGAAACTGTAGAGATTTCTAGAGAAGCTGGATCAGTAAAAATTATGTGATTGTATAATTAATATAATAGTATTATGCGATCAGGTTCCAGTACAACATATACATTATGACTATTAATAACCAAATCTTAGTGCCTATACCAGATACATACTGATATTTATATCGTATTACGGTCTCCAAATTCAGGAGAGTCTTATATCTAGCTGGATTTAATGTTCTCCCCTCAGCTGTTTTGGAAGGGAAATCTAGGAAAACCCCATATGAAACCCAATATTGCCCCTGTGACCCAGATGCTATAGAAATCACAGCCAATTTTCTATTGTAATGTCAGTTCTACAGAGACATTTGACACTCATGAATTACCCTCTTTTTATTCAAAATTTCCAGGGCACTCTGATGGTTTTTATTTGCATTATCTCCTAAACAACCAGCATAAATGTATTTCTCCAAAAGTTGCAAAATGTCACTATATTGTGTGTAAGCTTCACCTGCAAATTATTGATGTTAGGAGATAATTTTGCTTTGTTTGTTTTATAGAACATATTTTTATTAATAGTGACCAAAATAAAGTTTTTGCTCTGTTCTGTTCTCCCCTCCTGACATGACCAGAAGGAGAGTTTTCATATTTACATATGGTTGGAAGAGAAACATCTGTTGCAGCAAAAACAAATGTCAGAGACAGATATAATGTTTTTTTTACATGCCCCAGAAAGTCTGGTTATTGAGCAGGGGTATCAAACTGCCAGCCCGCGAGACAGATGCTTCCTGCCAAAACCGCGCCCACCCCTTTGCCGGCAATGGAAAAAAAGTTGCAATATGTCTTGACATGTCACATGACGTTGCGAGTTTGACACCTCGGCACTAGAGTGACATAGAGGCTGCCCTGGAGAGGATTTTTTTTAAAAAATTATAAATAATATGAATAATTCTATCTCTCTGTTATTCATCAGTCTCCTCACCATGTCAGCTTCCTTCCTCTCTACATTTCCAACAACTTTGTGTATATAAAATGGTCCTCTCTCAGGAGCATATTTCATACATCTTCTGAAGTAGATTGTAATTCACAAAACCTTGTATGATCATAAATAAAAGTGCAAAAGACTAAGGCAGCTAATTCTTGCCGAACGGGAAGGTGGTGGCAAAAACTGCCATGACTAGAACCACCCAATGGGATGTCCGTACTCCTGACAATGAGCTCAAGCTTTGCACTAGAGGAAGTCCTCAACTTACGACCACAATAGAGCCCAAAATTTCTGTTGCTAAGTGAGACATTTGTTATGTGAGTTTTGCCCCATTTGCCACAGTTGTCAAATGAATCACTGCAGTTGTTAAGTTAGTAACATGGTTGTTAAGTGAATCTGGCTTCCCCATTGACTTTGGTTGTCATAAGGTCGCAAATGGGGGAATCACATGACCCTGGGATACTGCAACCGTCATAAATATGAGTCAGTTGCCAAGCATCTGAATTTTGATGGGAATGCTACAATGGTGGTAAGTGTGAAAAATGGTCATGTCATCTTTTCAGTGCCGTTGTACCTTCGAGTGGTCACTAAATGAACTGTTGTAACTTGAGGACTACCTGTATAGTATACCAAAAAGAAAGAACGGTACCATTTTCCCCCTGCAAGGAAGGGAAAGCTATAAAAACTGAATAACTGTTTTCCATGATTAAACTTCCAACAAATTGAAAACAGCAGCAGGATTAACACACAGTCACACAAACACACATGCATGGAGCTCATAATAACAAAAACAAGACCACAAAATCCAAACATCTGTTGAGACAGAAATATTTTCATCGGGGGTTGAACCAAGGGAGGAACATGGCCTGACATCTTGTATAGGCTACACCACACAATATTATTACAATTAACTGTAACTAAAGGTGAGGGCATGGCCAGGATAAGATGGTATGGCTTTGTCAGATATGCCTATTGTGAAACTGCCTGCCTGCCAAGACCAGCCTGGAGCAGGGCATCATCTTCATTTTAACTCCTGAAAGGGAGAAAACCATCACTTAGAACCTGAGTTAGTACTAAGTGGGTCCAAGCTATTTCCTTTTTAGGCTCTCTGTGGTCTAAATACAGTGGAGAGGCTGGAGGTGTGACTTACTATTGGATGGAGGTATAACAGGAAATGCAGGTTTGGGAGAGAGAAAACTGTTTTGTTTCTACTTCCAGTGTCACTAATGCAAGGTCATCTTAAAAAGATTTTGTATTTTGCTGTGTGTGTGTGTGTGTGTGTGTGTGTGTGTGTGTGTGTTGGGAATATAACAGAAATCTAGTCTGTTGCTCATGAAAGATACTTGAAATGTGGTAGCAAGGATGCTGTAGCATGGAGAAACTAGGTTACTTATTCCAAAAGTACTGGATTAAAAACACAGAAACTTTTTTTTTAAATTTTTAATCCCTCCATGAAGAAGTTCAAGAGGTGCTATATGCAGCATTTTTCAAACATGGGAACACATGAAAAATCCCTCCCCCATGACTGTACAAGCATGCAGCACACATACATTTATCCTTATATGAAAAATGTGTCTGAAATAAACTGTTAAGTAACAATACATCTGAAAAGTTCTCAATGCTTAAAATAAGAGTTAACATTTCAGAATTCTCAATGCTTAAAATAAGAGTTAACATTTCAGAATGTGTCTTTAAAATTTCAAATAATTATTGTAAATCTGCTTATCATAGAGTGATCATCTTCCTATCTAAAGTTACTGAAGTTAAATCTACAAAGCAAATAAGCATATGATTCAAGATGTATTTGGGGCAATGATACTTGTATACTCTCTCTACCTTGCTTGAATAACAATTTGTGTGTATAAACTATAGATAGGAAAAGGGGGCTGAATTCCTTAATATTATCTTATGCATTTTGTCAAATAGTGCCTTTTCTTCTTGGCTAACTCCTTTTGTCCCAGAATTGGGTTATTGGGGGGAAGAAAAGATTTGGGTGATACACAATAAAGCAAATGAGGAATGGAGAATGAAGCTGTCTGAGCTAAATGACCTTTTTGATGCTGAAATCAGACTCACTGCTGTTTCTTGTACTTTATTTGAATAAGAAAGGCATGGACAAAAGAAACATGATTATTATGTTTACCTTGGTTAAAGTCACAAACCACACTGTGACAAAGAGGAAAGGAAGAATTATTCTTTTGAGTCATTTTGCCCTTGCTTGAATAGAGTGAAAATGGTTTTCTAGAAATATTCAGCCATGTTAGTCTGATTCTGAGAAAAACAAATGTAACATCTTAAAGAGAGACAAATGTATTATTGCACAAGCTTTCAAATGTGTGACTCTCTTCTCTTCAAAAACACAGTCCGTAATAAATGTGTTGGTCATTAACATTTTATTATATGAAATTCGTGCTCCAAACTCTCAATCACTCAGTCTGATTCCTGCAATGAGCTGCAGCATCAAACACATTCAATGCATAAAATTAAATGAATAGACACTAGGCTTTCATAAGCCAAGTTCAACTGTCAAGCATATTTTCTGTAGCAAGCACCAGATGCTTCTGTTTGGTAGATGAGGGATGGTGCTTATTAGTTATTGCACACACAAGTTGGAGTGCTGGAAGGCAAGAAAATGAAGACAAGCTGAATGTCAGCCCAGATAGAAATGGCATGTTAAGAAACTAAGAATTTTAAGTGCTGTCTTGATGCTTATCAGCTGCTCAATGTTGAGCTTGTACATTTGAACATTAACTACCTATTGGATGATAGGCTGTTGTGCTAAAATCTGCCTTCTTTTAAGTTTTCAAACTTTTTTTTTAACCTCTTTCTTAGGATGCTTTGGAATTTCTTTCAATTTTCTTTTGGTAATTACTTGAGCTGGTTGGAGAATTCTAGGAGTTGAAGTCTACACATATTAAGAGTCGCCATGGGTGGGAAATTCTGCTTTAGAAGTCCACAGTGCTGCAGGATGCTGCAGGTATTATTTATTATGTAAGCTTTCTTGGATCTCCATCTGGGAGGATGTTCCCCAAGGTGTCGTCTCCTGGAATGTGACTGACATCTGCGAAGTTCTCTGTGTTAGTGCACCCTTGTTCAATAAAAAGCAAGACTCCAGCTTGCTGATCAAGGAGGTGGTATGTTTTTTGGGAATGCTTCTGGACTGGGCTCTCCTTAATGTCCTGGCAGGAGGCAATATCCAATAGTACTACTCATTAGTTTTAGATTCTAGAATAATTGTAGAATAATCCTTAGAACAACTCAAATTACACCTGCACTGAAAGCCAGCAACGGGCAGTTGTCAAATTCTCTCCAAACCAAGAGATATACTAATGTGTGGTTTTATATATGTGTGTGTGTGTGTGTGTGTGTGTGTGTGTGTGTATACATACATACGATACATACATATATAAAACTTTCATTGCTATGATTTTAAGTGCGTGAAACAGTGTATCATAGGGCAATCCCAGACCCATGACCCCCAAAGGAAGGAAATTTGGGAAAGTTGTGGCTACTACTGATTACTGCTGTGCTGCTGGGTTGCTGCTACTGGGTTGCTATAGTCACGTGATCATTATCTTCAATGTTCCATGACAGTTTCCCAGGCAGTCTTGCAATCCCTCACTTCTTCCCCCATCCAGCAATAGGGAAGGGAAGGGAGGAGAGGGGAGGAGAGAAGAGATCTGATGCCCCATCAAATTTCTATAGGGAAACTGGGGAAGTCAGATGACACTCCTGCTCCCGCTGCTTTTTTTGCTTGCTCTTGATAGTTCTATTTCTTTGTTTAGGTAAAGAAATATATCTGAAGCAATGACCCAACAGGGCATAGGTTGTCTAGTTTTCTTTAAAACTTAGTATCTCTTACATCCAGGTTATCTGAGATAATGTCTGTTTCTGAATGATCCTCCCCATTCATCAGGGTCATCTGAGAAGATTTGTTAGAGGTTACTGCAAGTTTATCTTGTGGCTGTGATTCAGCATTCTCTGTAAACATCCCAGGTTTCTGGAATGTACTCCTTGCTGGGTAGAGGGAATAAATCCTTTGTTAGATTTTTTTAAAGTCCTTAATGTGTGCATTTATGCTGGTTTTTGATTTGGTCAAGATGTGACTTTATTTTGAACATTTGCAATTTTAACATTATTTCACATTTTTATTGCAAATCATTGAATGACATTGGGAAGTGGTGGAATAAAAAGGCCTGTAAATAAATCAATTATGAAAAGAAAAAATAAAGCAATTGGAGATCATGAGATTTGGTAGTTTCCCACAATATAGTCCTTGCATCAATGTTCAGGCAAGTTGACTTTTAGTTGGCTTGATGGTTAGTTCAGATTGCCTTTATGGCTTCCTGGTTTCACCTATGATAAATGGTTCTCGGATTACTGAATATAATTTACATCTTCTATGTAGGAGCAAGAGTTCACACCTATCCCATAAGATTTTGAAAAGGGCTGCTATTCCATGTAACTCAGATTGTATATTTGTAGCACAACTTATGAAGAATCAAGGAAGTGGAATTCCTCTGCAAAATTGGGATAATAAGGGATTTTAACAAAACCAGCTGTTATAATTTAGAAAGCTCAGCTAACGGTCAGCCCTTTGAGGAAAGCTGGATATATGTGTCGTGTATTTTAGACTAACTTTTCTTATTGACTATTAGCAGTGCCCTTACAAATCAGAGCTGTAGCAAAATACTTTTGTTCTCAGGTAAATGGATGTTTCAGAATAAAACTGTTCCTCATTCCCATGAATAGGTCTTTTTCCTACTAGGTGAGGAATAGATTAATACATTGAATAGATTGAACTGAAGATACGTTCATTCTGCAGCAAAAAGACACATTTAGAATCTACATTTGTTGCTGTTGGTTCCCTAACTTTGTCTGAACAATCTGACTGCAATTAGGCCAATGAACATTTTAATCGATAGTAAAAATATTTATTGGCCTAATTGGTCCTTGTTAGTCAAGTCTTGACTTGTGCTTAATCTGGGGGCAGAAAACAATTTTTTGTTGTAAGAGAATCA